TTGTGTGACCAACACAAGGGCCCTCGCTGGGGCTGGGAGTGAGATGGCAGCCCCATTGACTTGCCATGCATATGGACCCTGTGACTGACAATCTCGGATGAGCCCCCGCTCCGCCCCAAGGCTCCCCAGAGGAAGATACTGTGAAACTCATTCATGATGGCACGGATACATTGATACCAGAACCTGATAAGGCCATTATGAGAAGGAAAAATTACAAGCCCATATGACCTTAAGGGAATTAGATGCAAACAATAAAACAAGCCGGGCTGGTGGCTCATGCCGTATCTAGACTCTGTGAAGCCGAGGTGGGATCATTTGAGTAAAGTTTAAGACCCAGCCTGGAGGCAAGAGTGAGGACCCCCACTCTACAAATATAAGAGGAAAAAATTAGCCGCCATGTACCATGCCTGCACCCAAGCTATTATGGAGGCTGAGGCAGAAGGGATCACTTGAAACCCAGGATTTTGAGGGTTGTTGAGCTTAGCTGACGCATACACTCTTAGGCCCTGGGCAGGCAAAGTGAGACTCTTTTTCAAAAAAGAAAACTTAAAAAAATAACAGCAACTGTTTTTCCACCAATGTATTAAAAGATGACTATCACAAATGCGTTTAGGGTTCTCCAGAAAATAAAACCAATGGGATAAGATTATTATTATATTATCTATATATAATATATTAATACGTTTTTTATTATAGGGATTGGCTCAGTCCCACAGTGTGCGTGTGCAAGCTCAGCCCCGGGACACGGGGGTGTAATGCAATCCTGACCGGACGCCTGAACAGGATTTGCTGTAAGTTCAGGCTGGTCCAAAGGCCAAAAGAAACCGGATTGATGGTCCACGCAGGAGGGTGACTGTCCACTTAAACAGCAAATTCCCTTCATCCTGCCTTTTCCCTTGTGTTTCAGGCTCTCAGGATTGGATGAGGCCTTCCCACAACCAGGGACTATTTCCTTACTCAGTCTAGAATTCAAATGCTAATCTCTTCTGGAAACACACACGCCAGCAAAATGTGTTACCAGCTATCTGGCATCTCTTAGTTTCAGCAAGTTGGACCCCACCAAAATTAAACCATACAACAACCAAATCTAACTTACCAAGGAGGCAAGCTTTGGTGTGGCATTAGAGAATCGTCAATATATTTTACCACATTGACTGAAGAAAAGGAAAAATCATCTCACCACTGTATCTTTTTTCTTAGATACAGAAAAAAAACAATTGATAATTTATACACTTTCAGATAAAATTCTTTTGGCAAAGAAGACAGACAACCGTACATCTCAGCTAATATTTACCCTTAATCCACAGAATCAATGTTATTACAACAGAATTCAACCAGTTTGTCGCTGTTGCGGGGAATCAGCAAAGCCTGTTCTAAAAATTCATATAAAAGAGTGACAGGCCAAATAAAGAGTTAACAATTGAAAAAGGAAGAATAAATTGTCAAGTTACGATACCCGATATCCACGCTTATTTTCTATAAAAGCTGCGATGCAGCACGATTTGATTTTCCCAGAGTGAAATATGGAAATATTTCCAGTTCCTCCTGGAAATGCCACGAAGCCTCTAACATGTGGGAACCCCAGTGTTCATTACTGCTTTAAATGTGATTCATAAAGTGAACAGAAAGAACCCACAAAGTTAAAAACAATTTATTTGTGTTCTATTTCCATGCAGAGGCCAGCCAGATGTTAATCACCAAAACTGAGAGCCAGAGGCGGGCTCTCTTTAGTACAAAATTAATTTACCAGGGATGCGTATCCAATTGCAAGGTTTTGCGTAACTGGGTTATAACTATATTTAGAACTGCACAGAAAGGAAACAGTGATTGCTCACTTCAGTACTGAAAATGAATGAAAACCTCATGGAACTAAGATCTGAACTTCAGTGAAATACTCCAAAAATAATACTTAACTCTCAGGACGTGTTAGCTGCGAAAAACAAACAAAAAACAAACGCATCACAAACTGCATTTGAATAAAGAGCAAATTCTGCCATTCACCTTTTTTTTTTTTTTTCTGGAGACAGAGTCTCCTTTGTTGCCCAGGCTAGAGTGAGCGCCATGGCATTAGCCTAGGCTCACAGCAACCTCAAACTCCTGGGCTCAAGCGATCCTGCTGCCTCAGCCCTCCCCGACTAGCTGGGACTACAGCATGTGCACACCATGCCCGCGTAAATTTTTTCTATATATATATTAGTTGGCCAATTAATTTCTTTCTATTTATGGTAAAGACGGGGTCTTGCTCTTGCTCAGGCTGGTTTCGAACTCCTGACCTCGAGCGATCCTCCCGCCTCGGCCTCCCAGAGTGCTAGGATTACAGGCGTGAGCCACCGCACCCGGCCCCATTCACCTTTTAAGAAGAAAAACTGCAAACAGAATGAATCACTGTTTTTTGTTAAAATACCCAAGTAGTCGATTGCTTAAGTTTCAATTTCTGTCCTGCATATCGCTCTTTTAAGACGCACTGAATAGTTAGTTAATCCTGGGCTTGCACATTTATTATAACAAGTACAGGATCTGGTTAAGGAAATCTGTTAACTATTTAGGAAATTAGCGCTTGCGTTTTATGTGTGACGATAACTTGGCAAGCTGCGGACCAGAAAAGAACAGATTTAAACCCGTGGGCACTGGGGCGAGTGCCTGGTCTGTGCAGCGGATCGTGGGGGCCAAGGCCTGGGCACCGGGGGGACCTGCAGCTGCAGGTTCGGAGCGTCCCGCAGGCTCGGTTCCCACAGCGGCCCCAGCCGGCGCCACCCCTAGCGCTGCCGTAGTGCTAGCCGGCCGCCACCAGGGTCATCTTTTCAGAAATGAAGTCAAGGTAACAACGGACAACTTCTTCCCGACACTGCACCTCCTTCTCAGGCGGGGCCCGGGCCTCCGTCTCGCGCGCCACCTGCGAGAACACCTGGTCCGCCATCAGTTTGCTCTTGGCCGTGACCTCCAGAAACGGGCAGCGCGTCAGCACGTGGCGCTGGGCGTCCAGGTCGGCCTCGCACCCGAGCTGCGCGCACACCTGGCCAGCCAAGT